TTTGATGAATGAAGACAATTAAGGAATATATTAGATATTTTTATGGCTAATTTTAAGCATTGCAATTCAATTTGAAAGTATTTTATTAGTTGAATTTTGTGTAATTTCATTAATCGAATGCAATTTCACTGTAGATAAACAGAGAACACTTGAATGAACAACCATATTTTATTTCCTTGTATTAAATAGCCGGCCAACATGTTAAAAGACTTTTTTCTCTTAAACATTTAAAGAGTGAGCATGCTTATTTATTTTATGAGGACTAATTATTCTCCAATCAAATTGGTTTAGATTAAATTGACTTCCTACCAAATCAAAATGATATTAGTCAAGTGATAGACTCAATTGAAATGAGTTACATAACAATTCAATTTAGTTAAAGGAAAATATTTAGATCTTTACTGATAAGAACATATCTCTATGGCGACTACCATTGAATATTTGACAATTAAGAAAGAGAAATGCAAAAATAAAATTTTAAAAAAATTAATGAATTATCAAATATTCAATAATAATCAACATAGAAATAAGTTATTACGATTAAGGACCTAAATATTTTTGTGAGTCAAATCACATCTAAAAAGTTATAATTTTAACGAAAAAGTTAAAATATATTTATATTTCTGTAAAAGAAAAAGAAAAAAAAAAACCAGCTTCTAGTACTACTCAAACAAAAATGCAGATAAAACACTAAAAAATTATCTCATTTGCATTTCCAGTTCGGCGTTAGCCTTTGTGAAAAATGTAACAGCTAGAAGACCTGACAGTTTTGGCCTTATCGCTGGCCTCACTCTCACTTGAACACACACACAACCATCCACCACAGCCTTGCAAGTCCCAACAAAAAGCTGCTCCCCACACCACTTTTGCTCATTGTCTTGGCTTCATGCAAACCTGCTAATCTTAAATTAAGTTGGAGTTGTATTCTATAATTTAATAGGTCCTAAAGTTTTAAGCATGGTTTAATAGGTATCTAAATTTACAGTGTTTTGTTTAATAGCTTTCTTAATTTAAAAAATATCTAATAGATTTCTCAACTATTAGACTTAAAAAAAAAATTACTTAATAGAAGCAAGATTTAAAGGTTGGATGTACACAATTGTAGGTCTAATAGATAAGGAACCTATTGGACGCAAAGTTTAGTGACCTACTATACACTTTTTAAAGTTTAGAGACTTATTAGATATCCTTTTAGAGTTTGAAATCTATTAGATACAACTTGAAAAATTCGAGGACCAAACATGTAATTTAACCGCCAATATAACAAGTTTTGACTTAAAGATGGAACAAATAAACAAAATTCTGCGGTCAACTCTTGATATTGATAGGGGAAAAGTGATGGGTAAAAGAGAACGGTACAACGTGTTGGAGTGGGGATTCGAACCTACAACTTTTTAACTGAAGATATATGTATTTACCAATCGAGCTAGGTTCGGCGAAATCTCTATCCAGGACTAGAGGAGGGAGGAGTAATGAAGAAGTGGACCAAAATTTGGAGAACTGGAAAAGCTCTATCCGAGGGAGGACTAATAGAATTCCAAGAACGTGTAACTAAATGCCTTCAATCAAAAAGATCAATAATTTAAAGCAATGGGAATTTCAATGTCATGTCAGAACATATAAACAAGTTATTAAGTAGTTAATGAGCCAAAGTAAATACATTTTAGTGTGTAGACACAAACAACTTGAAATATTCTATGGATTTAAGACTCCTTCCCTCTAAAAAAACCCATTACCTAACATTTATAATATACTAAAAGAAGCGATCCCTTTTAAAGTAATGGATATTATCAAAGGAAATGGTCGCCTAGTGACTCTGCTAACATATTGACCAAATTAGTCGATTTATATTGTTCATAATTTTTCTACATAAGATCTGGCACTATGTGATTTAAAAGACAGAAAAATGGCATCTTAAGAGGCAGCAGGCACTGCCTGTTTACAATCTGATACTCACAGATTGTTCATTCGAGATCCCTATTCAGTCAATAAGATTTCAAAATAATTAACAATACAAAAGGTTTGAACCTGTACCTGTTGGCTGGCGGTGGGGGGCGAGTGAGTGGCTAGCAACGTGAGGGTGGATCAGCAACCAGACCAAGAGAGAATTGACAGCTCGGAGAATCTTGAAGATAAAACCAAATTAATGACAACTTTCCACGCACCTCAGCAGCTCCCCTCATTTTGTTTATGGAGGCATGCGACAGAGGCACCAAGAAAGCCAACCCATTCCATTGAGGGTCGAGCTTGGCTGCCAAGGAATCAGGCGACAGGTCAAAAGCAAGCTCAATTTCACAAAAACACATGTACCAATGAGATTAGAGATTAGTTGTACCAGTATAATATTTTTGTCTGAGGAAGCTTTCAAGATCTTGTCTTGTCGGTGCCCATCGACTTCTGAATCCCATAATCTGGAGCTTCTTCATCTTATAAAACGTTACTTCCTCCTAGTTGACAGCTAAACCTTCTCCACTCAAATGAGATCCCTAAGACTTGCTATCTTTCTTATTTTCTTCTTCTGCTTTGCTCTGGTTGGGCATGGAAGAGTAAACTCCAATGGACTAGAGGTGGGTTCCTTTAAATCCTTCAATTTGGTAAGCCCCTCTCTCTTTTTCTCTCATTTTCTGAGTTCATGCTGTGTATTAAATGACGGTTCTTACATTTGAGGCAAACACAGGGAAGGTCTGGGTGCCAAAAAGTGGACGTTGAGTGCAAAGAGGGTGAAGGCAGAAAAGAGAACGTTTTTGAACATGAAGATTATGTCTACACTCAATCTCTCCCTTAGTGCAAATCCCATGCAATCTCAATTTCCTACTTCAATGGCTGAGATAATTGGGGGAATTGCAACCTGTGTCTATAGCTAATTTGTCAAGTAGCTCTAGCTGCAGCAACTCACAAGTCTCCTTTGTGGAAACTGCAACTCATCTGAAGATGACATTTCTGGTTGCGTAATAAATAATGCCTTTGTATTTGCAAGAATAATGAAAAGGTCTTGGTGTGAAAAGAAGTGGATGTTAAGTGCAAAGAGAAAATAAAATGTATCAAATATGAAGAAGGCTGTCTAACACTAAACAATTCTCTTCTGTTGTCCCAAGTCTCATGCTATGTAAATTATCTGCATTGGTGAGAAAGATTACAGTGCAAACTGAAGTTTTTCTAAAGAGTCAAGATATACCTTTCACAAGTAACTGTAGCTCACAACAAAAACTGAAGTTTCAATCTTCGTGGTACCTTTTTGCGGTCCACTTGTATCTGGTGCGAGAGGGAGATGAGATAAGGAAACAAGAAAAAGAGATGACCCCAAAAATGGGACTCAGAATTGAGTAATCTCTGGCATCTACATGTATACATTTATGAGGGGAGGAAAAATAACTCTATGCTGCAGCATACTGCATAATATATTGACATTTTCCAATGTCTAATGAAAATGTTACGTACATCATTCCAATTTCGACAGACTAACTGTTTAAAAGATAACTGCTGCCAGGCTTCACGACACAGCTGGGGAGTATATATGAAGCGAGCTCAAACTACTCAGAAAACAGAGCTGGTTAACCAACCACTTGGTGAAAATTAATTCATATGATATGATTTCAGCAAGCACGGAAGAAGTGCTCGCGTTTTCGACCCATATCATCTGATGTAATCTCTTGATGATGTATACCGCAGGCTACAGACTACTGCTTTCTATCAACTATGTGATGATGGATTCCAAGTTGACTCATTTGCTGTGAATCATAACTCTGAAACCTGAAACGTGTCCAGTTATAAGGCCGTGATGCTCAGGGTCGCTTGAAATTCAACATATAATTTTCAAGGAATTGGATCCAGATGTGCGCGCAATGCCATGTCTACTTACCTATTTTTCAAGCGGTTCCTGTTATCAACCTCTCCCGCTCATCTAATCTCTTGACTTTGACAAGGCCGAGGAGCACTTGAAAACCAAAAAAGGCACAAAAGATGTAGGCAATAGTAGCAGGCATCTGAAAACAGTAAAGCAAGTAATCAATAATCATAGAGTGATAACGGTGGCAGCAAGGTCGAGAAAAGAAAACAAGAGCACATCTTACCCGAATGGAATTGATAGATAGTATTGTTCCAAGGTTGATTAGGCTTCCAGCAGCTATTGCCTGTTGATGGCCAAAAGATGGGGGGGTAAATGAACTTGCCAGACTATAGTCATTCCAACATACGCAGAAAATTGTGCTAATTTTCTAAAGCTCTCGATTTTTTTTCACCTATTACTTTCACAAAAATTTTCTATTGGATCTTGATAGACCTCCCATCCTTCACACGTACAAGGATGGGAGGTCTAACAGGTCGCTGTGGATACCGTTTAATATGGTCGAAATATGTTAACATGCAAACAAGGTTGCCAGGCAAACATGAGTGCCAACTGAAAAACTCACACTTCCTAGCATCTTCTGAACTGTTGCAACGCGTTGGAATGCTCTTTCAGATTCCAAAGCCCGAACTCTAAGCTTCAGGTCACCTTGCTCCTGTTGATTAAATAAAAAGCAGGTCCAATATTCAAAATATGAAGAGGTAAAACTGAGGTTTGACATGCCCATTCATTTCAGGAATGGTTTGTAATCATTACCAGTCTTTGGATAATTTCAGCAAGTTTTTCAACTCTTTCGGCCTGTCTAAATAAGTTATAGAATGCGCGAGACTGCCTATCCCATCTCTTTCTGAAATCCTGAAAATTTGTAAGAATTGACAATTAAGATAGCAATATAAAAAATAGATGGAATACGACAAAATGTAAAAAGATAATCACATTTACCTTCAAGACAACCTCAACTCCGGCTTCACGAAACTTCAGTAATTCCAGAGCATATCTAAAGGATAAACATTAGCCATGTAAGATAACCATAAAACGTCCAGATGAGAGGAGTTTAAAGTAATTTTGAACTCTGATAAAACTCACGGCTTTGCAATTTCAGTTATATCAAATCGTGGGTCAAGGCCTTTCCCAATGCCATCTAATACTGCAGAGAATAATTTGTTTTTCAGTGGTTAACGTTATCCAAAAGATGTTGTAACAGTTCATATTTCTTGTAAATTACCTGAAAATGCTCTAACAACAAATGTGAATGTGGCAGGAAAACGAAATGGTTGATCTGCTGCAATGGCTAATAGATCTTCCCCTGTTAGGAAAGTGCAACAGCTATGAGCAGGACTCTATACACAAGTTCGCTATAGGTTTTTTGTAGCATCAAGTATAACGAAACACTGTTTTATCATACAAGTTGAGAAGAAAAACTTTGTAATCATCTGATAATCACTTAGATTAGATATTTATACAAACTCTCTGGTTTTTCATTGTGTGAGACATAATAGGAGTTTTTTAAAAAACTAAAAAAGGAATTAAAGCATAATGGGACACCGGGACTGCTCAACAGGGTTACATACCAATTGCAGCTAGACGTTCCTTTTTTTTCATTATTTTTTCCTCCTTGGTCAATGGTTTCTTAAAACCAAGTTCTGCGGTTGCCATCTCTCTTTCCCTTCTCTGTGCAGCCAGACGTTCTTCAAAACTGGAAGTTCAAATTAAAAATTCCATGGTCAGAATATGGTGTAGAATAGATTTACAAGTTTATTTTTTCTTTCTTTTATAATAAACCAAGCTTTCATTCAGAAAATATGACAGAGAACAAAGGCAAAAAGGATTAACAAGTTGATTTTAATTTGACCTCAGTTCCTTGCTTAGTTCAAACAAGTCACCGTTAACATATTGCTCATGATAATCAAAATAAATCAGGTATTCAGATTAAACGCAACAAAAATTAAAATACTACAGTAGAAATTTAACTGTGAACCCAATTATAACAAGTAGTATCAATCTCCCAAATAAGTGATTGCAACCTGCTTAGCTCATTGAACTCTCAGATTGATTCCTAATTTGTTCTGTACTCTTAAGAGATAAAATAACATCGCATCATTAATGAATTTATCAAAAAATTAAAATGAAAATCCCCATTAACAGCATTTTCAACGAAAGAGAAAGGCACTTTGTTCTCATTGCCAAAAATAAATAAATAAAAAGGAAAAAAAAAGGGCCTTGCAAAGATGTCTCATCTAAAAACCACCAAACAAAAATATTTTTCCACATATAACAATTATCTAACAAAAAGACAGGATAAAGAAAAAACGAACGAAATGAATATTGATCAGGGAGGTGTTTTCTAAGTTCATTCAAGTTTCTCTTCAATAAACCTGTTGAGGAAGAATTGAGCTGTTCGTCTAACAGCCGTCATATCTCCAGTGGGCACAAGAACTCCCATTTGAATCATTGCTTGGAGAACCTGCACTAATGATGAATTCTTGTAAACAATCGCATATTATTAGGCAAAAATGATGATACTGGTACACCACCTTAAGGTGGCAGAAACAGAAATAAACTTCATATAGTGAAATGAAAGCCAACGGTGCATTTTAAGAAAATCGGTACCTTGTCTGGATCTTTCTCATACACTCCATAGAACGTTTCCAGCAAACCCTCTCTGATATTTGAACTGATACTGCAGAGCACCAACACAGCAATATGTTACCAAAGTATGGTGGCCATATAAGGTTGATTTTCTTTTCCTTTTTTCTTTTTTGTTGGGTGGGGGCGGAGGTGTAATTTCATAGATGAAGGTCAGGCAAGCAAAGTCTAGTACCTGCCCATCATTCCAAAATCATAAAAGATCAACCTCCCTCCATTGACATCATCGACAGCGATATTCCCAGGATGCTGAAAAAGGTTAGTTACATTCAAAGTTAATAAATCTCTTACGACAAATCTAAAATACATTGTATGAATTTCAATGAACTTTCTTAGGCACCCGCACTACATTTATCCATAATTAATTACACAAGACAACATCCTAGATATTTTAGGACTTGGATAACATAAACGAGAAGTAGTAATCAGAACTCACAGGATCTGCATGGAAGAATCCATGAGACAGAATTTGCTCCAGGTAAGATTCAACAGCATAACGACCTAGCCTTTATCACATAAGAGCAATGGTAGCAATGATATAATTTCCTTCAATGATTATAAATGAAGATAACAAATTGAAGATGATCCTGACCGTTTTCGATCAATGCCTAGTTGATCCAGAGCTTTAATCTTATTTATTTTGATTCCAGGGACATATTCCATAGTCAGAACCTACAGTCATTTCAAAATGATAAACAATCAAGGTAAGAACAATGTTCCAAAAGCAACAATTGTTTAATCGTACGAACTAATTAATAATACCTGTGGGGTGGTATAGTCCCAGTATATTGATGGAACTTTCACGTAATCCAAGCTCTTAAAGTTGCTTGCAAACAGCTCGGCATTAGCTGCTTCCTTGGTGTAATCAATCTCCTGAAATCAACATAATATTTGATATTATGAAGAATTAAACACGCTGGCATAGAATTTGACAGAAATAAGCATTGATGCTTTTGAGTCGAAATAAAAACGGCTATAATAATAAAGTTATATATCCATATAACATATCAGTAGCCGTGTCTTAAAGTAATAGTTGAGGAAATGTCAATACCTGATACAGGACATTAGCACACTCGTCATATATAGCAACCCAATCTCTCTTTGCACCATCTGACTTTGGGTCAATTTTTTGAAGGTATTCAGCTATGACCTGAGATAAATTAAAATATCAAAGGTTTTGATGCATGACGTCAAGTCCTTTCTACATACAAGTTCGACAATTCTTAAGGGAGTTGTAATATGGACGTGATAAATACACAGTTCGGTGTTTTAAATGTTGCAAGCATGGGCTTTCCTTTGCGCAACTTATAAAGATCAATAATCCTTCTTAATACTTTAACGCATTTTTCTCCATTTTCTCACACAAAACTTCCATTTTTTCTCTTCTTCTCTTTATCTTCTCCTCTCTCCCCTCTTTAGATCCTTTTTGCCCATTTTGTTTCAACAAATGCGTAACGATCATTTCCTTTTTTATCTTACCTGCATCCTTAGAAACTTTCTATTTTCTAATATTCATATGCTTAAAAGAATTATTTCTTTAAATATCTTATCCCATATAAAACTTACCCATATAAAACAGATTATACACCTTGCTTAAGC